ATATAAAAACTGCAGAGGTAAAAGATTTTTTTTTATTTCTCTATCGTCGTATCTGTTTATTTCTCTCTTATTTCCTCCGCCTCTCATCTCTCTTTCTTTTATTTCTCTCTCTCTCTCTTCTCTCTCTCTCTCTCTCTCTCTCTCTCACTCGTCCTCCTCTCGTCTCTCTCTCTCTCTCTCTCTCTCTTCTCTCTCTCTCTCTCTCTCTCTCTCTCTCTCTTCTTTCTTTCTTCTCCTCCCCTCCTTCCTTCCTTCCTTCTCTTCTCCTTCTTCCTTCTCCCTTCTCTCATTCCCTCTTCCCACCTCTCCTCCTACTCCTCCTCCTATTCTCCTTCCACTTACTCCCTCCCCTCCTTTCCTCCTCCTCTCTCTCCGCCTCCCTCTCTCTCCCTCTCCTTCCCTCCTATTCTCCTTCCTTTACTCTCCCCTCCTCCTTCTCCTCCTATTCTCCTTCCACCTACTCCCCCTCCCTCTTTCCCCCTCCCCTCTCCGTTCCTCTTCTCTCTCTCCTCCCTCCTCCTTCTCCTATTCTCCTTCCACCTACTTCCCTCCCTCCTTTCCCCCGTCCCTCTCTCCTCCGTTCCTCTTCCTCTCTCTCCCTTCTCCTCTCTCCATTCTCCTTCCACCTACTCCCCTCCTCCTTTCCCTCCCTCCCTCTCCTCTTCCACCTTCTCCTCCTCCTTCCTCCCTCCTTCTCCTCCTACTCCCCCTCCCTCCCTTCCCTCCCTCCCTCTCTCCTCCTGTGAAACCCAAACCCTAAACAGGTCTATCAAACCCTTTTATTAAATCTCCAGAGGCGATAGACACCAGGTAGGCCTATGTGTGAGTCTGAGGTGAGAGAGTGTTTTGTTCTTAAATGGTTGTTCTTAAGTATATGTTCTCTTCTGGGTATTCTTCTCTGATATGTTATTATTATCTTTATCATTATCGTTATCTGTATTGTTTTTTATGATTAATCATGATCATTATCCTCATCATCATCATTATCCTCATCATCATCATTATCATTATTATCATTATCATTAGTATAATTGCTATTGTTATTGTAATAATGATAATGATAATAACACTAATAATAATAGTAATAATAATAATAAATGATAATGATGATAATGATAATAGTATAATGATAATAATAATAGTAATGATAATAATAATAATGAAATGATGATATAATAGTAATAGTAATAATGATTGTTATAATTATCATTACTATTATCACTTTTATTTCAACCATCATATCATTTTGGATCCACTATACAAACTCACTTTTTTTTCTTTTCTTTTTTAGCGAATACACAATACATACAAAGACACCCACACACACACGCACGTATACAGTCACAGGTATATGTTACACACACGGCACCCACCCACCCACCCACCCACACCCAAAGCCACCCACCCACCCACCCACCCACACAAACCACACACAAACACCACACACACACACACACACACACACCACACACACACACACACACACACACACACACACACCACAACACACACACACACACACACACACACACACACACACACACTCACCACACACACAACACACACACACACACACACACACACACACTCACACACACACACACACACACACACACACACACACACATCACACACACACACACACACACACACACACGACACACACACACACCACACACACACACACACGTTTCCGAAACTCTCCTCATGACATTCCCGTTTTCTTCAATGGAGAAAAAAAGAAAACGATGATAAGGCAATGTTGATGTGGAGCAAAGATTGAAATCAGAAAGCATGACATTTTTTTGTATGTTTGTTTTTTTAGTTGTTTTCTTTGTGATTGACGTACTATGATCAGCTGTTTTTGTTTGTTTGTTTGTTTTTATATGTAGGGAATGTGGTTCTACTTGAGGACTTCATTTGGTATTGTTAAGAAATGTTTAAATTGGGATTTCGCGTTTTTCTTAGAGAGGAGAGAGAGAGAGAGAGAGAGAGAGAGAGAGAGAGAGAGGAGAGAGAGAGAGAGAGAGAGAGAGAGAGAGAGAGAGAGAGAAGAGAGAGAGAGAGAGAGAGAGAGAGAACAAATTTTCTCTGTTCGTGAAACAATTTTCTCTGTTCGTCTCTCTCTCTCTCTCTCTCTCTCTCTCTCTCTCTCTCTCTCTCTCTCTCTCTCTCTCTCTCTCTCTCTCTCTCTCTCTCTCTCTCTCTCTCTCTCTCTCTCTCTCTCTCCATGTGCACATACATACACACTCTTTATATATACAGTGTACTTGTACATGTAAGTTTAATCTCCCTACAAATCTATCAGTGTAACATTTTTTTTTTTTTTTATTTATAGATCTATCTGTTTTCCTACGTCTACATTGTTGATATAAGATTCAAAAAGATTTTCTGTTTGACTGTAGCGTGTTTCATTACCATCCTAAGATTTACTATCATCATTATTTTTATCTCTACTTTCATTTCTCTTCTCTTCTCTTTCCAGGTGCCATATTTCTCAAGCAACAATAATTTTTAAAATGTGCCAAGCAGTGTATTTAGGTGAGTGACTTTAATTTATTTCTAACTCGTAAATAAATAAATAAATAGGTTTTTGATCTATTTCTAAATCAGTACCTAACTCGTAAATAAATAAATAAATTAATAAAAAGATACAGTAGTACAAAAAAGTATAGGGAATTATACAACCGATGACCACGGGGACAAAACAATGCTATTTCCCTCCCCCCCATAGAGCACACTTTCCCTTTCGCAAAACTAGTATAGAATTAACACAAAAAAAGAGACATAACCTTCCATACAAATCTGCATAAATAATAAAAAGTGTGTGACAAGAAAAATATATATAATCAAGTGTCACTGTTGCTTCACTTTTAAGCGCTGTTATATTTCCCACGATAAAGTATAGTTCAAACTTCCACACCAGCTGTTGCCATATATATATATAATTACGGACGTATGATACAAAAACATCTTTTTATGTCGACTTCGCCTGTTAAGTTGCCATTTATTATTTTTTCTTTCCCTTTTTTCGGCCCAGGTTTGATGGCAGTGGCACTCAGTCTCGCAACAGGTGCCACCCATGCATCTGTCAGGGTGAGTTGGCATTCCAGTGATATAGTTGAACTTTCTCGTTTATTATTATTATTTTTTTTATTATTATTTTTTTATCATTTTTTATTCATTTTATTTATTTTTATTATTTATTATTATTATTATTATTTGGCTGCTATTTTGCAACGTTTAATTATTGTTGCTCTAGTTAATCGGTTTTGATATAAAGTTAATGATTATAGAATATATATGTATGGACATTAATATTATTTATTTTTATTTTTTGCTGCTCTTGTTTTGCAACTTTTTATTGTTGTTCTAGTTAATCGGTCTTGTTATAAAGTTTTATTATTATAGAAAATGTATTTATATGGATATTATGAAGTTCATGTATTTACGACTAAACATACATACACACTCACACCACACACTCATAAACCTTCACATACACACACACTCGAATACACAAAGACACACATACAAAGACACTCACACACACGCGCACGTATACAGTCACAGGTATATGTACAGATACACACACGCACACCCAAACCACCCACACACACACACACACACACACAACACACACACACACACACACACACACACACACACACACACACACACACACACACACACACACACACACACACACACACACACACACACAACACACACACACACACACACACACACACACACACACACACACACACACACACACACACACACACACACACACACACACACACACACACACACACACACACACACACATCACACACACACACACACACACACACACACACACACACACACACACACACACACACACCACACACACCACACACACCACACACACACACACACACACACACACACACACACACACACACACACACACACACACACACACACACACACACACACACACACACACACACACACACACACACACACAACACACACAACACACACACACACACACACGACACAGGTAAATAACTTTTTATTAACCCTCTTATATCCTTGATTTATGATTAAATAACATCTAAATCGACTGAACCCGACCTTTGACCTGTTCAAGGAAGGTCGTCTGTTCTTATTTATTACTTAATGTTCACTTCCTCTTCTTTTCCAAAAAATGTTGATGTTTCTGTTCATAATTGTATGATTATTTTGAGTTCTTATACAGGAAAAAAGGGAGAGAGAGAGAGAGAGAGAGAGAGAGAGAGAGAGAGAGGAGAGAGAGAGAGAGAGAGAAGAGAGAGAGAGAGAGAGAGAGAGAGAGAGAGAGAGAGAGAGAGAGAGAGAGAGAGAGGAGAGAGCGAGAGAGAGAGAGAGAGAGAGAGAGAGAGAGAGAGAGAGAGAGAGAGAGAGAGAGAGAGAGAGAGAGAGAGAGAGAGAGAGAGAGAGAGAGGAGAGATAGATAGATAGATAGATAAATAGATAGATAGATACATAATATATAATAGATAGATAAAAAGATAGATAGATAGATAGATAGATACATGCATACATACATAGATGCATATATAGACAGACAGACAGTAGATAGATATATAGAGATAGATAGAGGTATAGGGAGGAAGGAGGAGGAAGGTAGAGGTAAGGGGGGGGGTATTTGCGCATCAGGGTCACATGGGTCAGACGTCATAATGGTTCGAGGTCACGGGGTCAAACAGCTGAGGCTAAATGGTAAATCACAATGACAATATGCGAACTTCGTACAGTAGAGCAATCTAAATGTGTATCTGCGTGCCTGTGTACGTGTGTGTGTGTGTGCGTATGTGTGTGTGTGTGTGTGTGTGTGTGCGTGCGTGGTGTGTGTGTGAGTGCGTGTGTGTGTGTTTGTGTGTGCGTGTGTGTTTGTGTGTGCGTGTGCGTGCGTATGTGTGTGAGTGCGTGTGTGTGTGTGCGTGTCGCGTGTGTGCGTGTGAAAGACA